AATGCGCATCAACAATACCAGGAAATGTTTAAACGCCACCAAAGAGACCAGTAGGTCCTGGAGGTTGCCAGTATGTGTTGTTTAAATGTTACCGGGACCACCTTTCTGAGATAATTTTATGAAAACAATATTTACCTAATTTTTTTCTGTTCATTTCAGCGGAACCTGTGTTGGAAGAGTGTTTAAAACATTCGAAGGATGGCGACGTTTTTATGATGATTGAAGTTGGTTCTGAATCCGAGTAAGTTGCTGCTTCAAATACTTGAATTACCTTCCATTTGTCTACCCATCTGTTGCTTTACCGTATACTATGCATTTTCCGTTAGATATTATGTAAACAAATTTGGCCTTTTTCGTTCATACTGTTTTACTTTCGTCCACAGATGGAATTCACCAGAGAACAAATTTCGTACTCACCCGGTTTTTAAACTCCAAAGCATTCCTTGCGTTGTCTCTTTCAAATTGGTGAGTTTATTTTGAATGGGTAAACGTTCGCTGCTTCGTTCCCCACATATCCAGTACACCCAAAGACGAAATAAACGAGATTAGAAAATGTCTACTGAGCTTCTTTCTTTGCTCTACTGCTCACCGACAGGCTTTCTAATAGACAATATTGTTCCTTTTGAATGATGTCTTTCGTTTTGATATACCATTTCAATGTACAATCTTCATGGTGTTTATGACTGTGATATACAACGGTGTTATTCCCTCGTAAAATAACGTACGGGAGATTTATTTGGAGTGGGTTGTATCGAGACGTTTCCTACAACATTTACGCTCGCGCAGGTAATAAGCCTTTTTTTACCTAACTACGGGATTTAGGCCGTCACGACGCAACCCATACAACTGGACAGTTACACTGCTTGCTGTTTGTCCATAATCCGTGCGTGAAATTAATAAGTGTAGGAGCACATTGTATGCAGCAGCGGTAAACTGGAAAATAGTAAAATAGTGAGCAGTATTCGGGTAAATAATCATTCAACGTTTGAATTCCGTCACTTGATCGTACATGTAGCCCAGCCATTGAACATTGCTATACTACTTGAATATTCACAGTAGTCAAAGTGCAAATACTGAAAACATCAACTGCTCTCCTGCAGAATTGACGATAAGCACGCCAGCCTTTGCGCATCGAACTGCAGCGCCGCAGTGTTGTTTCAGTCCAGTATTTCGTCTACTCTGAAAAGCCTAGTCAGGTAGATGAAACAGGGCATGAGGCAAGGACCTTGTTTGTCGCAATTTACGACCTCAACGTCGCATTACCACCGTTTGACTCTTGGGGACGTTTGCCAAGTGAAACTTCACACCATTCTCGTCTGCATTTGCCTGTTTGGTTGATCAGGACCCACCTCACTTGTGGTTAGTCAACACTTTGATTCTATGGTTGCGATCAGGCTATGCCTATGTGATGCACAATGCTCAGGTCTGAGTAATTCCTTTCAGCAAATATTCTTTCCCTTAAGTGCCTTTGTAACTCGTTTGATTTCGTTCTTCCAATCTCGTTGTACCAACTCCCGCCACTTCGTATTTACTTTTCGGTTATTTTTATCACGGTTGATCACTATAAACTACAACACCTAAGTGCGTATTATTCTTGGTGGTAACAACGTACATTTTATCAAGACCAGTATATATCTTTGTCAGCATGTAAATTTATGCGCGGTCAAAGAGTAACCATTCGTTGCGCAGAAGCCAGTCTCACCTAGTGATCACTGCTTTCACACCTACATACTTTTTAGTTGTTTCACTAGTCAATCGATCCACTGATTGTGACAGCCGTCATGAAACCCAGGGTCTAAATATGCCCAAGTCCTTTTTAATTCCTTTTTAATTTTAATTTAGTGGTAAAGCAGAAAATCGATGTTCACGCAACCTAATGCTATTCAGTTATGGAAACCGGCAACCTAGAATCCTAACACGAGGGACTTGCTATTGAACCAACTGATTACCATCGATATGCTTGAGACATGGCGGTCGGGCTGTCATATGGAAAACATATTAGCCATTTGATTCTTTGTGTTTGGGTCTAGCTCCACATTTTACAGCGCACAAGCAACACTTCCAATAAAGAATACCCTCATCTCAGTAATAGAATAAACTGTCAAAGTGGTATGATTCACGGAGATTTTAGTTCATAGACAAATCTGGCAGATTATCTAATCTAATTGCAAACTAAAGGAAAGCAGTTAGCCCACTTAGTCCTCGAACGTAAAAAGCCATTAGAGCCGGCTGTTGATTCATGTGACGGTTTACTAATTTTTCGACTCTTCTAAATGCGATGGAAATGTTTGTGATAACCAACGAAGAGCACTGGATAGCTGTTTCGTCCTGTTTGGAACTCGTCAGCAGTGCGTACTTTTGGTGTCCGTGTCAGGACTCAAACAGCAACTCTTTCCGGGTCGGGAGTTCAAACCCTTACCCTTGAGCTACATGGTCGACGGTTATCACCTTGTGCAAACGGCTGTTTTGGTTATTCGTGAAAACAGAATGTTCGAATAAATGAAATTCATCATTAACTTTGATCAATGTGCCTAATGATCACGGTTAACTGATCGAGTAGAAAACTCATTCAACTTGTTTTTTTTTTCAATTTCAGACCGGTGATGAGCTGTCAGTTGTGGATCGAATCGAAGGCACTAAGTGTCACGACAAGGCGCAGTTAGCCAAAATGCTTAATGCCTAATGGTGCTATCTACCTCACGAACTGGGTGCAATGCTTTTTCGACTGTGATCGCTTCTTGTTTCATTTTGGCTCTTACGCTTCCTCGGTGATCATGTTTTTTGTGGCAATAGTGGCTGTCTTTCTCGCGCTATTGAATGCATCTTATTTTATTTCTCTCGCGGTTAATTTATTTTTTCTCTCCATGTAATCTCACGACGTGTGGATCGCCTGGCATGTCGTGTGTGTTGTGCGCTTTTTCACCGCTTCCAATTAAGAATATTACGCATATTACAAGTATTGTCTTCTGTTTTCATTTATCTTTGCAATCAACCAGCGTCAAGCTCCACTTATGCTGTCGAGGTAACCGGGGATATGTTTCGATCCAGCGGTGAATTGGTCCAATTTTCGCGGTTGTGGTCATCAGGCGCTTAGGGATCAATGAAAACCGGGAGTTGCAGATCGTTTTGATCATGGGTAGTTGTCTCAGTCTGAGAATGAAAGTGCTCTCCTGGTCCTGAGTCCCAGTTTTACTGGCACGTGTAGAGTAGAAAATTATCTTTTTGTCTTAACCATGCATGTGCTCGCGTCGTCATCACACGGAGCACTGATTTATCGCGGCACACACGAGACTGGGGGTGGGGTGTGTGATGAATAACGACTATGGGGAACCGTTGCGGTATGAAATACAGTTTACCAAAATTTTTGTTCGATCTTTCTCCCAACGCGCAAAGAGCCTCAACCACTCCCTGCCTTCCTACGATGCCCAGTCTACGCACGTCAATGCAGACCATTAATGATGGCAGATGCTTCATCGGTCGGCGTGGGCACGTTCCAGTCAATTTAAATCGCTTGCGAGCTCTTCACTCAACGGAGTTCCTGAAGCACAATGCTTGTCGTGATGGAGAATGGTACTTAGACTTCCAGTGGTGGTGGTGCTGGTATTCAGTGTATAATAACCATCGGTCTGAGTCACTTTTGGATGAGGTTGATCCTGTCCGATCGTTATGTGACCATGTACCCTATGACAATATGAAATATACTGCTTCCTTCCGTATATAAATGTTTTCTGGTTGATTTTATTGGGATGCGGTGACCGGAATCGCCAATCACACGAGTACTAAGTTAATGGTCATTGAAAACCACTCGCTCGTTCACTGCATTTTATTACTTTATTGTGCCTCCCATGCATGTTTAGCTGGCGTTTACTGGGCACCTTAGCACAGCGATTGCAGATGCGAGTGATCAGGAAAGTGGACTGGTGACAGTGGCCATATAAACGGGTTTCCAAAAGGCACACCAGCCATAGCGATTAGAAGCAAGGACTTGTTGAACTGGATCGAGTTGTTTTCCCCTTTCCTTGTTCCGCTCGTTATGATGTGGTAAACGAATAGGCATCCTTACGCCCCGCTGAACACGACACCGGTGGTCGCCTAAGGTCCTGTTTCTATGCCCCTTTCGTTCCACGATTGTTCCTCGGAACATAAATATCGGACCACTCGATTCATGTATAATTATTATTTTCAATCCAGAGAGAAACTTATGACAACGAACAGCAACCTTTTGATTTGAAGGGATTGTCAGATTTTGCGGCAGCTGTCTGATTGAGCCAGATATCTTGATTGGATGTTTCCTGAAAGTTTTGAAGTAATGCCTTGAGGAGCTCCGCGATGGGATTTCGCGAAAAGTTCAACTGTGCTTCAATGGATCTGATCTCTGTTCGTAAACCCTCCATAATGCGCATATCCCTCTCCGGGTCCATGTTTTGCGCCAACTTAGGATTCGAATGTTTCTGTATCGATTTGATTCAGTTGAATCAATGAGGTCAGTCAGTCTTAAGTCGAAGCACCACGGGCTTCGTCGAATGACTGATGTAATTCCCGTTGAGCGCATTCCATTATGTTAATGAGGCGAATCATTTTTTTCGTTGATCCGATCGTTAAGAATGGTCAAATATGGCCGGATAAGGTAGAACCATTTGAAACAGTCGAGCAGTGTAAGAGACACCAATAGAATTTAGTCGCAGAGCAAACGACGTATAATCAACAACCTTGCGAGTGTCAGCAAAACAGAAAGAGCCAATCACATACACAGGCACTTCTTTGTGGTTTTCTTGGCGATTGTGGTCAGGATCATCCGTGATTTCGAGGTTTGGTGATTTGACGAGTGCTATATGTATGGTGAATTGTCAATCCCTATGCTAGAGCTTGCACTTGTGAAGACGACTCAGGGAGAAGAGCATCGGCTAATTGAAGTTTCCGTCAAAAGCGCTCACAGGAATCAATGATCGATGAATGCAACCACATAATCCTAGAGGAATTCGTACTACTCCGCTGAAACGATTTTCGCGTGATAAAATTGAGTGCTGTTGTCTGTGGTTCTGAATTCGCTGGTTTGTGGGAGGTTAGGCTTAGTGGAAACAGTGACCTGGGCCGATGAATGGGAGTGATTTAACATGAGCAACTTTGAGGCAATTAACGCTTGCGATCGATGATAATATTTACTGCAGCGTTTGATTACGACACGAGGATTGTGGCCTTTCAAATTTATTAGGAAATCTGATCAGTGATGGGTGAAATTTCAAGGGGTGTAGAAAACCAGACATCGTTTAACAATGCGGGGGCATTGAGTAATATGGAGGAAGAAGACGCCATGTGGCATCTTTTGATGTCGTCTCTTTATTCACCAATCATCTGTGACTGCGTGTTGGAGAAACAGATCGACTTGAGTATTTCGCTGTCGGTCTTGGAGCGTCTACTATTTCTGTTTACAAAGGATGCACATTTAAGTTTTCGAGGTAGACGATTTAGACAACTCAATAGGGTGACTGGGAATTCCGTTCGGTTCAATTCTGGCTGATAGTTTCATGGCTTGTCTGAAGAACAACTCCAGTAGGGCACTGTTCTGTACAAAATATTCGTCGAAGACACGCTGGTGATCGCCCATTGCGTCTGTGAGCCTGAGGGGCTTTCAGCTGATTTGAATTTACCTCACAATGACACAATTTACTATGGAAACCGGGCAAAATAACATTCCCATTTCTGGATATTGCTGTTAGTCGAAGACCGGACGGGACTATTTTGAGGTCTGTGCATCAGAAGTTCACCAGTATATGCATTTTGGTGGTTTCGCTCCAATCCAGTACAAACTGGGCCTCTTGCGTACAATGACCGAGCTACGAGGCTTTACACTTCGGATAATGTGGAAGGTGAGCTAATTCGGCTCCGGGAAGCTCTGAATCTCAATGACTGCCCAGCAATGTTCATAAAAAGGTACAGTGCCAAAGCCGAGCCCAGCCCTCGGGGATGATAGTGCCATAATGTGACGTCATCATTCAAATTTCTTTCAAAGGTAATGATATAGGCTAACTCATATTAAGACGGCTGGTGGCGACTGTATTTCGTTACAAATCCGATCACTCGTTTCGCAACAAATCAGTTTACGATACCCTTGATAAAATCACAACTCCCTCTGCCCACCAAATTGCATGTAATCTATGAATTTCCATGTGGGCGCGGAGCTAGCTACGTAGGCGGAACAGAAGCGGATGCGTTCCCGATAGGCCGAACACAAACCAGTATGGGTCGATCGCGAGCGGATGAGATTGAGCGCTACACAAGCAACTAGGCCATGAGGCCGGTTTCACAGAGCACCTGCGACATCGATATCACAATATGGTAGAGTGGCATGAACAATGTCAAGTTTAGTGATGAATGAGTGATTGTTTATTAGAATGACTAGAAACCAGGATGAGAAATCGGAAAACTCTGGCCAATCCGGGAATTTTCTTGCGCTCAGATAATCTGAATTCAGGCTTACAATGAAGGTTAGTAAAACCGGATAAATTTTCAGGCAGCAGAAGCGAAGCAGTGCATTTTTCCTTCAGATACAGGCCACCTGCAAGTGTATGACTGTCAAAATAAGTAATTATCACATCGGCGCTAACTGGAATAACTTCATTAGCTATCCCATATTCCTCAACCCTTTTCCTAAAAAAATAATAATTTCGCAGATTATTGATAGTGCCAGCCTATAGGATCCACGAATTTCAGGAAAAAAGTTTTTCGGAATTGAGAAACGCCTTACAAGAATAGTCTCAAGGAGGTGTCATCAACATCTCATGTCTCGGTTTTTGTTCGTTGTGTGTGAAACACGAGAATTTTGCGAATGACTTCAAAATATTTCAAAGTTGACTAACAGTTACTTGTAAGTAGTGGTGTGGGATAATTGTTTTTTATTCATTTGAGCAGACTATCTGTAATGAGTGTAGTAGCAGTAGTAGTAGTAGCATGTACGGAATTCGGAACACCAACCACGCACAATGAATTACAGGACCCAAATCGATAATCAGCTATCACGGACTGGATCGCAGAAGAAATGTCCCACGAGAACGAGACGCGAGGAAAAGGCCAGGGAACAAGTAGTAAGTAGTTCGTTTATTGGAAGAAATGAAGCTGATTAAATAACATGTACAAAGGGAGATTATTGGCCACCTGGGCATCCACCAATTGGATTGCAGCACTGCTTGCATAACCTTGCTTCTGTCTGCATTGTCTAGGATTGGCTGGCACCATCCGCCAATGACGTGTATTCAGAAGCAATGCACGTGCTACTGACGTCAGCATTCAAACTTGGTTGATCGCCAGTGTCCTGAAACTGTAACGCGCCGCTCCAGGGTAGGCGCCATTGTGTAGGCCCGGATCAGTACACTATCCTTCAGAATTCACCTTCACGCACAATCCTCAGTTCATCGATTCAACCATACACTCGGAAGCATTAGACTCGAGTTTCGCTCTTATTGAAGCTCATCAGTAGTGCATATCCATCGTCCCGTCCGGGATTTGAACTCCGGACCTATCGCATGCAAGGCATGTGCGTTAACGCTGTACCAACCGGCTCATGCCGTGGTTGAATCAAACTGCCAATTCATGTTTGAGAACAAAACACGAAATAGCGAGCAAGCTCGTTTTCGCTAACTTCCTCATCTAGCTAATACAGTTGACCGTTGACCTTTGCGATTGACC